TTAAAGGCTTTGGTTTATTATTATTATTTGGTTTAAACCAGATTTCTTAGCCTGGTTGCAATGAATAGAAAGTGTAGTTTTAACTGGAGAGTCTGTTCTAAGAGATTTCGCTGTCGTGAATCCCCTCAGGTATTAGTGTTGTAGAGAGTGTAAAGAAGAACAGATGACAATGTTGCATGTGAAAAATGAATGGAGCTGCAGTAAAAGCTGTATGTTTTGTTTTCAAAAAACAGTTTACAGTTGTGTGACTGATTCCTTGAGCTGTGAACATGCCAAAATTTGGAAAATAATAGTGTTTGTGCTAAAAATGGTCTCATTCAAGTTTCTAAAAACCAGCTTGGAAAGCAAACAAATAGCATGAACACAAGTATTGAAATAAAAGATTTTGAAGAGTATTTTAACTTGGTGTCCTCAAAGAAAAGCAGGCAGCCCCCATCAGATTGACATACTGTTTAATATTCCAAGCACATCTGTCACTGAGCACTGCAGAACTGCTGTGTTCAGGTTAAATGATCAACAAAAAAACCTTTCTTCCTGTGGCTTCTTAAGTGTATTCAAGGAGGAACTGAAAAGCAGAGGGAAATCTCTTCAAGCACAATTGGAAAGAGATGGGATTTCCCTCTCTTAATTTGATGCTTTTTGAACAAACTCAGATGTTACAAAAGAAAATGTGTGAACTTCTTTTTTTCAAATGAGACGTGATTATTATGGTGCGTCGCATGATGCTTTTGGAATGTCTTTATCTAACATTCATAATACTCTAAACTGAGTATCTAGTGTGTAGTCTTCTGACCTGAAAAGTGTATTTACTGGTTCTTGTTCTTCAAAATCCCCTTGCTCACTAAATGTACTCACTCACTTTTTCCCCCACTCTGTGTTTTACTGGTAGTTTGTCAAAGGGAAATACACACCTCCTGATGCATGTGGCATGGAGACATGTCCATACAGCAATTTCAGGTGCAAGCCCGAAATATGACAGTAAGGAAAGTGGAACAGAGGAGAGCAAAGGTCAATGTGAATACCAAATGGTAACCCACTGTTGTTTAACTATGCGCCATATGAGGGACTGTATTTATTCATAATTTAGGTAGATGGATACAGCTTTTTTAAAGCCTTAGATGACAGGATTCTTGTAGGCATTTTAATGCTGAAAGGATATTATTCAAAATGAAAGAAAATACTAGTTCAGAAGGGAGATTGCACACAGTGAGAATGGTTGAGCTTCAGATTAAACAAATTCTCTTTTACTGCATCCATTTTTGAGGATTAATTTTATAGCTTTTTATTAAAGCCAGCTGGTCTGACATGGTAAGGATAAGTCCTTGGCAGGCTGGGTTCACAAGCAGTAGTGTTTTACCATAAACAGGCCCAGCAGGCAAGCCCTTGTATTACACAGATTATTGCAGATTACGTGTCATCTTCTGGCATTTCAGATCTCCAGTTGCAAAAGGTGCAAACCTCCTGCTTTGTTTTGAAGAAGGCAGTGTGAAACAACCCAGACATCATGTTTGTGATCTCAGTGATGACTTCAAGTGGGATGGGAGTCACCTTTTTTTTTTATCCTCTTTCAGTTACTGTACAAAACAGTATGGTTTGGTACAAGCATTTGCAGTAGGAAGGAGGAGGCTACCTTACACCAGCTGCTTCACATCTGTTCTCATTGCATGTTTATCTTGTTCTAGGGCGTGTTGGGCAAGCAGTAGCGCTACGTGCCAAAGCCTTTGGCTTCAGTGTGCTTTTCTATGACCCATACCTCTCAGATGGCATGGAGCGTGCTCTGGGACTGCAGCGGGTGAGCACTTTGCAGGACCTGCTGTTCCACAGTGACTGTGTTACCCTGCACTGCAACTTGAATGAACACAATCATCATCTTATCAATGACTTCACCATAAAGCAGGTAATAATCTCTGTGGGCGCCCTCCACACCAGTGCTGCTTGCTGACACTGTGTAGCCATTTATTCATGTAAACAGGCAGATAGTAATTTGAAAGAAATTTCTTTCCTTTTTGCTTCTTTGAGATCAAGCAGGTGTGTAACTGATGAGGGAATAGCTGGTGGCTCATTTATTGTTGCTTTTATTGTCTTTTTTGCTCAGGAACATCACGTTGTGGAAATAATTTACTCTTCTTAATGTTGCTCAGATTGAATAAAGTTGCATTTATGTAAAAGCACTTTTTCCATGTCTTCTAGTAGCTACTTCTTTTACCTTTTACAGGTAACAGTTCTGCCATTCACTCTTGTTCCTCAGTTTGAGTTCTTAGATGCAATTTAAAGATCATGACTAAATGGCTCCCCCCTGTGCTCAATCCTGATGCTCACAGAGCACTTCATGGATGGATTGCATTTGCAGCATTGCATTACTTGGAAAGATAATGTTTCTTGGAATTAGTACTAACCTCTCCCCCAAGTTTTAGGTAATACTAAAATAATTTCAAAACCTAGATGAAGTAACTGCTCCATTATTGCCTAATTTGATAGTAAGCTTTTTCATTAAATGTCTAGCTTCTGGCTGCAACCTCAGCGTAGGTAACAGCCAGAAATATAATGCTGAGATTTCAGAATGTAGGGAGTGTATAGGAAGGAAACTCTTAAAATATAATAGTTGATTTTGCTGTTCTTCATGTATGTAGTGTTTGTATGTGTTGGTAACAGTGACAGTTGCACTCTTTTGCAGTAAAATCATTGCTTGGCTTCTGAGAAGTAGTTTGTACCTACTGTTCTTGAACTTTAAGAGAACTGAAGCAATTACAGACCATGTTCCACAGTCATGTAGGATCATGGTAGAAAGTTGACAATATAACATATTTCTTCTTTGAGAGTTTAGGGATTTTGCAGGTCCATCCCAACATAAAATCAGGGTTTGAGTTTTAAAACTCTAAAAATTTAAGAAGTTTAAAATACAGATCTCTGCAAAGAGCAGAGTTTTGTCACCCTGGCCTTCAGGTTCTTTTTTGTTGTGTGCTCAGGTACATATAATGGTTATTGCATAGTTAGATGTCTTTGCAAGCAGACATCTAGAGACAGATAGAACCACACTGCATTCAGTGGAACCATCTGGAAGCTTAGCAGCGACACTCATTATACAGCCAACTGTGAAACTTGGGCCAGTGTATCACAGGAAGTTTTTGAGTGGAGATGGATAAGCACGATGAGCTTTGGAGAGGGCTCAGTACGTTAATCAGAGAAACAAAACATGCTGAGACCGAGCGATACCGTCTGAAATGCAATGCATATCCTACAGTCTGTACTGGAGAGGATATCTTAAGCATTTGTCTTGCTATCTGTTACCCTTTGTGATTAAAGCAACGTTTAAAATGTTAGGAGACAGTTCTGGCTTTGGATAAAAGTTTGGGTGAAGCAGTCTGTATTGTAGCAACTGCTTAGTTTGTGTCGAGCAGATCTTCTGAACTTGTGTCAAAAAAGCAGAATAGCTTTTTTAGGCTGAAAGGTGTTAAGAGTTGGCCTAAAATTTTTAACCAGTTTTCCATGCCACTTGCATCCAGTATTTCATGCTCATGTAATAACCTGTTTTGAAACAAAGTGAAGTATGGTGCATCTCATTTCACTGAAGTCTCACCCTGAATTTTGTTTGGAGTCTGAAATTACATAACCTTAAAATGTCTTTGAAAGTTTGGTGTCAGTCTTGTCTTTCAGTAGCTTTTCCCTTTAATTAGTTAGCATTCTGTCTAGCCATGCTGCTTGGCCCTGTAGTCCCAGAGTAGCTCAGAGAAGTGCTTCAAGCTTGTGTTTATTGAACCCATGGTAATCAAGTGCTCTGAAGAGGAGCAGAGGTCATCTTTAGTTTTACAGATTTAAGAAAAAGGCACTGCAATTTGAACAAAATACATTATTAAAGCAGCAGGTTTAGTGTAGGTGAATTAACAGCCATCAGCAGTTCTGCCCGTGAAGCTCTTTCAAGGTTCTGGCTGTGAAGCTCTTTCAAGCTTCCATCCATTGTTAAGGGTCAGCTCCAGCTGCATCCACCCTTAAAGTCTATCTTGAGTCCCACAGTCCATTCCCACTAGAATGTATTTATGCAGCTATGCTTTGTTTGATTTGGACTTGCCTTTAGTACTAGCTTTAGAGTTTTGTAAATAGTCCTAAAATGAAAACTCAGGTGAGGTTATTAAGATTGGACAGAAAAGTTTAGCAGGGTTCACTTTGATTAAAAGTTTCAAGTCCTTTGAAGGGCATATAAATACCCTAAGCTGTACTTAAATTATCCATTTGCAGGAGCACAGAAATAGCAAGGGTGTATGAGTTCCACGAGCCTGCATGGCATGTCTGCACAGCAGGTGTGATTGTCACTTGGGTGAGCCCTCCTGTGCTAGTGCTGATCTAGTTCTCACAGCTGACTTAAGTAGTGGAAATGCAGTGATGGTTCCCGTCAGGAATGTCTTGTTACTAGACCAACTTGAGATCATGCCCCATTTCCTCATTGTTCTACTTCTTAAGTTAGTTAACATAAAATGGAAAGAAGTATCCCTTCTGCTCCTGGAAGTGGACTTTGGGTTTGCTGTAGAGTCTAATAGATGGTACTATAAGCTCTAGGAGCCTGCAAATGGAGAGAGGCAGGGCAAAGCTAAACCTAGTGAGTAAAATATGGTGGGTTTTTTTTTCTTATCACCTCACTGTGAGTATATACACGTTAATTGTTTAATATTTCCTACGATCGCATGTAAAAAAATTCTCCTAGCTGACTTTAATCCAAACCTTGTTCATGAATTTGGCATTTTGAATCAGTCTTTCAGAGCGAGGATCCATTTACATAAGCTTTAGTTTGATGTGTAGGTTTCAAGTAGTTGACTCGGTGTCAAAATGTTTCGGGTTTCCTGTTCTTATGGTGAAAGACGGTGTCAGTACAAAACGAGATTTTTATCATTCATCTTCACCATGGTTCCTGCTCTTCATATGCTTACATCCATGCACAGAAACACTTCTGAGATCAGAAGCTGTGTTTGAGACAGCTGGTGAAAGACACAAAGTATTAGGGCGGCTGGCAGCAGGAGGTAGTAACTTACTTTATTTCTGTCCCATCTCTTATTTAAACTGCCACTTTGTTTTCAAGTTGTGGATACATTATGGTGTAAATTCTTGTAGTTCTCCCCACACAGCATCATCTACAATGCTAATCTGCACAATGCACAGCACAGCTTCTCTCCTGGGCACACAGCGTTCTCAACCAAATTCATTTTCATGCCTTTTAATTGAATAATATGAGAATTCTTTAGACCTTTATTTGAAAAGTCTCACAGGGAGGAGGAAGCTGAAGTAACAAAAATAAATAAAACATAGATCTACAGTGTTTTGGCAACTAAAGGGAAAAGTGTTTGAAAACCCAAAAGCATTGATTTTTCTGAAAAATTCATATAGGCTTTTATTTGTGTTGGGAGTTGAAAGTTGAAAACCACAGAATATGACTTTGTTTAAGAATGTGCTGTAGTTTCTGTCTCATGCAATTTCACAGTGAAATAAAAAGGCCTAAAATGATCTGTCACTTTCATATGCACAGTGGTATCTTTTGATCATGTTACTGCACAATATCTGAAACAACGCTTCTATTAAAAGACACTACTTACAAGAAAGAAGGTTATTAAGTGCTGTGAAATAGCATTTTATGTTAGAAGCATCACATTTTGTGGTACTTTTCAATGGAAAGGGAAGACAACTGTTACAGGTTAAACCAGCTGAATAGCCTTTGTTGTAATGGATGCTTCTTTTGAGTAAAAGAAATAATGCCACAACGATTTTATTTCATTTATTTTTATTTCATCATTCTTGTTTTTAACTTTCCCTAGATGAGACAAGGGGCTTTCCTGGTCAACACAGCTCGAGGTGGGTTAGTAGACGAAAAAGCACTTGCACAGGCCCTGAAGGAAGGAAGGATACGAGGGGCAGCCTTAGATGTACATGAGTCAGAACCATTCAGGTGCTTTTCCTTTTCTTTTCTTTTTCTTTTGTTCACTTTCTTATTTTGAAGTCTTAGTGCATGATACAATCAACAGCAACAAGTAAACTGAGTTTTCCCTTCATTTGATAGCTAAATACTCCTTAGTAAAGCAACATGAATCTGTGCAGCACTGGACTAATGCAAATGTAGATGGAGCTTTTGTATGTGATTAGAAGTGAAAAAAGTGACATCCAAGATTTAATTCCTTTCCTTAAAAATAAATAAGTAAAAATCCAATGGGTTTATTTAGCAGAAATAGCAGGGACTTGGACTCAAATCCTTGGCATGGCTTTGTGTCATGGCTCTGAGGGGAGTCCTCTTTTGTCATTGATACAACTCTGGAGGCAACTATCTCTTTCAGAGGGCAAAGAGTTGAGTTGTGGTGTGAGAAATAACTACTTTATGACACCTCTGGAAGAAAAGACATGCTTTTGTCCAGATTACCTCTGCGCGAAAGCTATATATGTAATAGGTGTCAAAACCATTTAAGAGTAAGGTGGTCAGATTGTAGGTTTTGTTTTGGTTCACCTTTTATCAGGGGAGCAGTCACTCTGCTGTCATTAGCAGAGCTGGTAGCAGAGCCCTTAGTTTTGAATGACACTGCGAAGTCCAGCGTTTCAGGCAGAAATGTACCATGCCCCAAGTGGTGTTTGGTATTACAGTATCAGCAACAGAAACGAGCCTACTTGGTGTGTCCTTGAGTCTTGAACCTGACTTGTGAGTTATGAGACTGCTGTAGCCTGATGCTTTCATGTGGCAAGCCTTTTTTAGTTGTTTGGTCTGGGCAGGGAGAAGTGTTAATTCTAACTGGAACAATCCACGGAAGTTTTTTGAAGAGGAACAGATTAAGGACTTGAGGGCAGGTTATGAAGAATGGAGAGAGGACAGTCTCTCCTATTTGGGAAATAGAAGCTTTAAAAAAAACAGAATAGCATCCTTTTAGGTAGAATTTTTATATCTACTGAGACACAATGCCACGTCACAAATATTTAATTTTATTTGTGCATACCCTGCATTCATTTACTTCAAAATGTAGCCATTACAATGCAGTAGTGCTGTGCAAAGCCAGAGTCTTAACAGCTCAAGGGACTTTCAGCTAGATACGTTCTTCCCAATTCAAATCTCAGATCTGCACAAGCAGAACGTTGCACCTGTAGGAAGCCCCATTTACTGCATGGAGATGCCATCTGCAGAGATTCAGTTGCAGGATTACAGCCACAATTTCCTTTGGCTTCGGTGCTGCATGTCTATCTGATCGCAGCATGCAACTCTCTATTCAAGAATTTTGCCAGATCCTCTGATGTTTATTGAACAACAGATGAAATCTATCATTTTATGAATCATGACCGGCTCTGAAAGCACGCTCCTGTCTTAAAATATTTGTTCTGCTGTTGTTACAGTTGATTGTAAAGATTATTAAAACTGGAAATAAATAGGAGGAGCAAGTTTCCAATGTTTTCAGTTTCCTTACTGTGTATCTGTGATGGCACTTTTACACAGATTCATTGCTTTCCTTGAAAATCGATCTGTAAAGTAAATTTCCTTCTTTCTGTGAAGTTTCTGTAAAGGAACAGGAAAGAAAAAACAGTTAAAAATAACAGAAAACAGACAACTGAATTATCTAAAAAAAGTCAAGGCTGCTGATGGGCACATTTCTTACTTGGAAATAATTGTTAGGCTTTTTTTCTTTAAATGGCTAAATGTCACATTGATAGTGGATCTTGGGAGAACAGACCAACTGTGATGAAATGGACAAATGGAATGGCGTCCTGAATTGATTTGGGATCTTGCTTTATGCATTTCTGCACCAGAACTGGAGTGGCAGTGGCTGTAGATAGCAGTAAGTGCATTGGACAGAAGCTAATGTTGCTGCTATACTTAGATTATACCCTTTGAGTCTATAAGAGGTGATTGTTGCTTATTTATAACACAAATAGTGTATTAAATTAACTGACAGAATTAAAACCAAACACAACAAGGAATAGAAATGCAATTCTTTTCTGTTGTAGAAATTAATCTGTGTATGTACAAATCCATCTGGATCCTCCCTCTTACCCCCCCCCAATTTTTTTTGTCATTTGATCTTGTTTTAAATCTTCATTTAGCTTTAGTCAGGGCCCCTTGAAGGATGCACCAAACCTGATCTGTACCCCACATGCAGCCTGGTATAGTGAACAAGCCTCAATTGAGATGCGGGAGGAAGCAGCACGGGAGATCCGAAGGGCGATCACAGGTACTAACTCACCTTATTGGCTCCTTCACTGTGTGTTTCTTTTTAACAAACTTTCTTCTTCTTGAAAGATGCTGAAATGAACCAGCCTTAGGGGTTTTTTACCACTTACAGTGTTTGGAATGTAAAAACGAGCAAATACACTAAGTCTATTCTCAGAACTGGAACAGATTATTTTGGAGTTTCATTGCAGTTACAAAGAGAAGGCAGGCACTGCAACATAAGTACTTTTTCCATGTAACAGAAATGTATTTATATGTGAAAAATCCACTTTTGGGGTTTTTTTTTGTTGTGTGTAGATATTACCTGTTGATAATGTGTTCGACCGCAAGTCATATAGATATTACTGGTATCTTTCATAGCTTTTCCTATATGCCCCTTTAGACTTGTCATGAGCAGTTCTGTTTCCTGTATTCTTTTCTCTTTGGCTCCTTTGTATTTTCTGAAGTTCATCCAAATTTGTCTTGGAGGACAGTCTGGAATTTCACTATTTTAAGGCTGTAATGTTCAGAGATAAAGCATCTAGAGCTTTATGCTGTTTCCACTAATACTTATATCTCAACAACACGTTCTCTATGCCAAAGCAAAGTTTTCAAGGTTTTGTTGGGAGGGTACTCTGTTTTAGATGTTCTTCTCTTTAAAGCATTGCTAAAGAAGTCTGGCATTTTAAAGGGCAAAGTCTCTTTGTTATGTAACTACCATGTAATTGTAAACTGTTCACATAAGAGAAAACAGTTATGTCTTGAATATGCACTGCTAATAAATAAAATGAGAAGAGTGAGCCATTTGGCATCAGTTTGAATCCCTTGTAGCCTTAAATAAAAGGAAGGATTTTCATACTGGAAAATTATTCATTAAGCACTAATGTTCTCTCTTTAGTTGGACTTCGCTGTTTCCCCCTTGGCAATATACGCTGAATGCTCTGCAGACATGAAGGGCCATCTGTGTCACCTTGAGAGTAGTTCAGTGCCAACACATTGCTCTGCTGTACAAAAAGCACTAGCAGTAGCCTTTCCTTGTGCCTAAAGAGGCTGGGCAATTTTGTTTTATATACAGCCTGTGCAGAAAGAAGATTTTTGCAACCCTAACCGTTCTGTGATTCCCCTCTGGATGGTAATTAAAGGCACCTCTTAAACTCCAGATCTGAATTGCCCTTTACAGGACTATTTGTCTCTGGTTTAGAGCTAACCTAAAGAGCCCAACCATCCTTTTGCTGGAACTGGTCCTTGTGCTTATACTCCAGAAGTACTCTAGTAGTACATTCATTAAATTGTTGTGTAACTATCACCAGCGCCGAAATAGCTCTGGGTAAAATTGCACAGACCAGCATATGATACATACTTGGGTAATGATTGATGTGCGAATAAGCATTAATAGGTTAAGATCTGAAAACTGAGTAAAAGTCAGCTATATGGAGCTAGTTTTATGTGAAGTACTGTGCAATAGCCCGAACATATGTGTCTAGGAAGGCAGACGTATATTTTCTTTAAGTGTATGATTGTGCTATCAGCAATCTGTATCACTGATTTGTATTGAAGCTGTCAGCACTTCAGTGTTTGCACATGGTTTGTAATAAGATCAAACTGAGACCAACATTAGGGAGGTGAGAATGACATTGAATTACAGTGAAACAAATGTAGGAAAGATACAGGAAGTGTGGGATGAAGTTGGACATGTGAAAGCCATAGGGAGGACAGAAGAGAGAGGGTGTAGAGGAGTAAACTAATTGGAAAAAGGTGTATAATGAAGGAATGCAGGCTGTGGCTACCATGTGATGATAAAGATGTTAAAGTGGTTCTGCTGTTACCAAAAAGTCAATGATGTTCTGATGTATAAAATAAAAATAATAAGCAGAGATTAAATATGTTTAAATATATTTTTGAATGTGAAAACATTCAAAGTAAGCAGAACCACTGAAAGCAGTAATGGAAGAAACAGGAAGACAAGTGTGACAAGAAGAGAGACTGTTATGAGGGAGAGGCTCATAGAACATGCCTATAGAAGTAAGCAAAATGAAGAATGAGAGGGGCAAAGTGGAAGACATGATTGGAGTTTAAAAATACTTGGGTTAAACAGCAGCAAAGAAAGATACTGTTTAAATTTATGGATGATTTTGACAGCAGTTTAGCTGGATGTGTATTTCAGCTAGATCTAGAAGATCTCTAATCAGGATAACGGTAGGAATTCATCCATAATGGGGCATGTACCTCATCTTGTCTGATACTGAGCTAAGAAGCCTTTATGGCTTATGCACAGGAAAAGTGGGAAGTTTCAGTGACAAAAGCATAAGTCATGGAGTAACAAGTATTTGATGGTATCCTCTAGACAAAAAGCAATTTTGTGAACAGTCTTTTTTTACAGCCCCATTATGGCCAGGCTGATGGATAGAAAGAACAGGCAAGGAGTAGCGAAGTACTTAATCCAATTTCCAGTAGGAAGTTGAAGACAGAAAGCCTGAATTCCTTAAGGATGGAGCACGGTTAGTTTTTGAAAGCATTTCTGCAGTACCGTTGCCAGCAGTAGCAGTGGTAGAACTTACTTATTTCTGCCTCTGCGTGTGCAAATGCACAGTAAGGTTAAACTTTAAAAGATACTTTAAAACAGATGTCAGAAGAAACATAGCCCTCAGTTGATCTCCCATTGAAACAGATGGAAATACTCCTATTGCCATGAAGAAAATATGTGTCATATCTGCTCCTTTTTTGCAGGGCTGGGGATAGTTCTGCAGAGGCTTGTCCAGTATGTGCTGAATCAGGCCAACAGATTTACCAGTGTCTTAAAACTTACTTCAGAGGTTAAGCAAAAGTTTTGAAGAAAAGGAGAAGGGTATTGTCTGGTGTAGTTTAATTTTTTGTAGGAATGATATAGATGGTTGAGGATTAATATGTTATAGTAAATAAATGTGAAGAGCATTTAAAATAAAGAAGGGGAAGAACAGGAGTACAGGAGAAAAGTCGTATTAGGTTTAAGGCAAAATTACATTCAGAATCCTGCATTCTTCAATCATAGAGTCACAGAATCATAGAGTGGTTTGGGTTGGAAAGGACGTTAAGATCATCCAGTTCCAACCCCCTGCCATGGGCAGGGACACCTCACACTAGACCATGTCACCCAAGGCTCTGTCCAACCTGGCCTTGAACACTGCCAGGGATGGAGCATTTACCACGTCTTTGGGCACCCTGTTCCAGTGCCTCAATAAGTGTTTTTATTACTGTTAAAAACTGAGGGAAAAGGAACTAAGTAAAGACAGAAAGCAGGAGGCTACATTACTGAATTTTAATGGCAGCCATGCTCTGTATTCAAGTTTCATCTTTCTTGAAAACATGGATCTTGTTGATTATGGTTTTATTGAGACCCTGTATACAAAAAGAAAAGGAGAAATAAAAATCACACAGAGCATTTTAACCATTATGAACTAAGTCCCAGACAAAAGGGGAACAGTGGGGATCAAAACCAAGCTCTTAGTGCGATTTTATGTGTTGATTTAAATATGCAGATATTTATAAATATTTTAACATAGCTATGTTAAGAGCATAAGGCATACAATTTTTACGGGGTTTTATTTCCTCTCCCTCACTTCATCCTAGGTCGTATTCCAGACAGTCTGAAAAACTGTGTTAACAAAGATCACTTGACTGCAGCTACACATTGGGCCAGCATGGATCCTGGAGTTGTTCATCCAGAGCTTAATGGTGCTGCATACAGGTAAGTCAGCTTCAGGTGTAAAAGAAATACCTCCTTAATTCAGAGGCAGGTTTTGAAGAAGAAGTAAAAGACCTGCCTATTAATAAATGAAGTGGGTTTGGATTAGGCCCCCATCTATATTTTTCATAACTGTTGCATTCCGGAGGATGATCTTGTTTTGCTAGTTGAAGTCAGGCAGTGCACCAGTACATTTCCTTTTCTTACCTTTTTCTGTGTGGTTAGTAATATCTGAAAAATACACATTTTTTTGTATATTCAGGTAAAACAATTGTGGTTATTTCTAGTGAGTGCAGTGGAAGTTTATGTTCCTTCTGCTGAAGGTAGTGATGCAGCAGTAGGTTACGAAAAGACTTTCAATAATAAACTATTGTTATGTGGTTCTGTTGCCTCCAGACACATGAGAGGACAAGTAACTCGTTAGTGAATAAAGTGCAACAGCCTGTGGTGATTATGAAAACATGTTTAAAATAGTGCTTTCTAAGTTACGTGTTTAATTTTTAAGCAAAAGCATTTAGAAGACTCTATCTATGTATTCTCAGTCAACTGTGAAAGCAGCTCTTAATAATTAATAGGAAAGAGCAATATTTTATATTTAATACGTATGTTCCTTAGTTACTTTGTTTGGTTGAGAGTCTTTCCTGACCCTTTATCCCTAGCAGCTGTTCCAGCAGCAGATTCTTCCTAGTAGCCAGCTTCATGCAGTTTCTATTTATGAAAAATGTCTGCAATTTTTTATGTTCCAGTATGGTATTTACTCATAAGTAGGATGAAAGTGGCTGAAAAAGCTGCAAACAGCTGTTTCCTTCAGTGCCCTGAGGGAAGGGACAGTGCAGTCCTTTGATTTTTTTTATACCTCTTTGTCCTGATCTTTCCACTGTCGTTCTTTATACATCCCTCTTATCTTTGTCCGTCTTTAGGACGGCTACTGCATACCTGTAATAGATACTGGATGGGGTTTTTGTGTTACCCCATATAAGAATCCAGCTGTGCACTGCTGAGAAGTGAGGCAAAGCTCTTGTGTCCCAGTGACATCTAACAGTCCCATCAGAAAACAATGGAGAGATGAGGGGAGCATCACTACCCCCTGCTTTAGTGTCCTTATCAGTAGCCAGAAGTGCACCAAAGGGAAAGAATAACTTGGTCAGCATGTGTGTATCTCACATCATGGCAGGATGTTTATTTTTAGGAAAAGTCCCAGTAGCCCTAAATATCTGAGGAAGGGTGTTCTTATTTGCTTAAATGAAAACTTCAGGCACATGTGTTTTCCTCCACACAGCATGTGGTTTCATTGACTTCAGTTGGGAGTACTTAGGTATAGCTGAATGCAATTGAGATTTAAAGGCAGGTGTTGAACTGTGGGTAATAACTTCAACCCTGTCATGGCAGTTAAGGACAGGGTTGCGTGCTCAAATAAAATGCAGTTTGTTCTCATTTTGGGGGTCACAAGTCCAGCAGAAGCAGGTTTTGCAGCTAGAAATGGATTTTAATTTAGGAATGTTTTGGGAGTTAATGATTTCCAAGGTAAAGACCGTATGTATTTAATTTAAGTGGGATAAACACAGCATGGAATGCCTTTTTTTAGACATTGTTTCAGTCAGTTTTTTCAATAGAGTAAATTAATCATAAATAAATTCCAACTTAGTTGTTTTCAAATTCAGAATAAAACTTATCTGGGGAATCCTTAAGAGAGTAGTCATACAGCAAATCGTAAAATCTTCTTTTTGGAGGGATGGTAGAATAGTGTTGTAAGTACTGGTGAAGGCACTTACTGTTTCGTGCGGTATAAAATATGCAGAACTTGAAGCTTAGGCTTTATGAAGAAACTGGCTTCTGTAGCAGTTGCTGATGGTTAATTCCTACCTGAATCAAGTACAGAATTTGAATTGGTGGTTCAAAACATATTTTTTTGTCTTTTGTTTGCAGTCTCAGATTATGTTCAACTAACTGAGCTCTCGACTCTTTCACAGGCAGTATGGTGTTTCAGATGTGCTAATAGCTGTATCATAGTCATGTAATTGCATTAGAAGATAAGACCTGGGATAATAATTTATATGTTAAAGAATGCAAATAGCTCTTTCGGTGAACTTAAACTAATGAGGGTATTTTATTCTAGATGTATCATTCGCTTGTATTTTGATGTAGGACAGAACACTTAAATTATCAGGTATTATCACAAGCAAAGAACATTGAGCATTCATCAGCAGAAAATAATCTGGATCATCTGAATATCATCATATTCTGTGGAAAACAAAACCATTTACTATGTGAAATGCAAGACGCCCTATCAACACAAAAGGTCAAGCAAATGGACCTATCCCATGAGTAAAGATTAATGATATTCCTGAGAAGGAGCTATCTGTAGTAGTCTCAGTGAAGCAGCATAATACACCCTGGTGTTTTGTGTTTTTACTGTGTATTTGTTACTGAGCTGCCTGTTAAATAACCCCCTGCCATTTCCTATGTCACAGAGCATGCAGGTTATAGGCAAAGTGAAATTTGAGAGCCAGCAGACAGGGATTGTGCAATTTATAGACATGTTGACATATCTTTCTGCCTTCTAACAGGTAGAAGGTGAGAATATCTAGGTACTGAGGAGGTACTTGGATGAAAATAGTCAGATGTTGGTAATTTGGGAGTTATTTCGCGTTGAGGTATTTCAGTGGTGATTTTCAGTCTGTAATGTAAGATAATAACATGCACTTCAAGCTGGCTTCGGACAGACTTAGTTTCTTGAGCAGAGCTTAACGTAGTTCAGGGTGCTTCTGTAGTATAAACAAATACAGGAGATTAACATAGAAATTATAGCTGCCTTTCAGTTGTAATTTAGAGGGCTGCTGTATTTTTCTTCCTACATTAAGGATGATACGTGGGGGAAGGCGAAGAAAGTGTGAAGCAGTAGCAGAGGAGGTGAAACTGATCTCTCACTTCTGCTTTCACAAAAATGTAATGCAGTGGACATTTTACCTGGAAAACATTTCAGCTTACTGCTGCCAGAGAAGGAAGATTGGGAGCAACTTTATGAAGTGCTGGAGGGAATGTATTTGCTGGTTAAGAATAGAAAAGCAATAAATAGCAACATAAGGGAAGGCTCTGTAGGATAGAAATGCCCACGTGTAGAGGCTGCTGAGTTTATGTGCCTTCCTTTCAGGGATATGAGTTGAAAACCACTGATGATTAAGTTAAAAAGGGACAAAAATTATGAAATGAGAGTGGCAAAATAAGGCTAGGAGTTGTCAAGCAAAATACAGTTTCTGTAGAGGGTATGTTATCTGAATTTGGCTGCTGCCACTGTGTAGCTTTAGGACAAGAGAAACAGTTGTAGGGATTTTGGATGTTACTGAAAGTCTGTAGGAAGCCTGTATCTGAAGAGAGATGCTGGCAGGTAGAATCCCAATTATTATAAGTTGGTGTCCAAGGGGAATATTTTTATACACAGAAAGAATATTTGGAGTCAAAGGAGAATTACAGATGTGTAGTTTGAACTGGTTAATGTGCTCAAAAGGTAACCGTTAATGCTTCTTATTCAGCACTGGCCATTTTCACAAGGGGAGGCTCTGACTTTTCTTCCTGAAGGAAAGGCAGTTGAAAATTTGCTTGCTTCTTGATTCTTCCCAGCTCCGGTGTGTTGATGCTCAGGGAATATGTTGTTAGAAAGTAGAGGTTCTGTATTGGAAATAATTGTTGTCTTGGGTTTTTACATGGAAGTTTTTGCCACGTCATGTTGTGGTTTTTTACAGAGTACCTAGAGTTACATATAAGCTGTTTCAAAATTAAATAGGAATAAGTAAAACAATACCCAGTCTGACAGTTTTCATAGGAATTGAAGCAAATTTGATTAATAAGATTCAAATTGAGGTACTGAAACAAGCAACTAATTCCATTAGCAACTGCAAATTAATTCTAAGGGACCTCTCTGGAGAAGGAATTAGCATAGGAAGCCCTGTAAATATGTGTACAGTTGGGAACAAAGTTATCTGGCCTACAAGTGGTGTGATCTTCCACATCCTAGTATCCATTCCAGAGTACAGTCGTCGTTATGATCTGTAGGAACCTTTCCCAGGATGTCCAGGCTAGTGTCTGGTGTCTTCATCATCCCTGTGCAATGGTGGATAGCCGTGATGTTTCTGTGGTGGAAGAAAAAAGCAAGTAAATGTGCTTTCATCTAGCTTTTTTCCTCCTCTGAGTTTTGCATAAATTCTATTTTTCTGTCAGTTGGAGGGAACTTAGGATGAGCAGCACAAACATTCATTACTTTAGAAGAGATGCTACTGAAATGGAGTGAAATTCCCTGGTGCATTCAGTGTTCAACTCTGATGAGATGAAAATCAACAGCAGAATAATGTGGTATTTGAAAAAGCTTGACAAGTCTACAAGTGCCTTCTCTCCCGTTTAGTCCTGTGTAAATACTGGGGCAGCAGATGCCACAGTGAGTAAGTGGTAGGTTTGTGTGTTTAGGCTTTTAAATGGATAACACTCATTAGGATGCTTGGGTGAGCAGAATATAGCAGGAGAGAACAAGGGATGAGTGTGTGGCTTTATGACAGGGAAGGGGAGGCAAAGGACCAGTGTTGAGAGGTCAGCATGAGGTAACTTGCAAATGGGTATTGAAGTATTTGGCTAAAGAGAAAACATATTCTAGTTAAAAGTATTTATGGGTAGCTGTTGTGAAATGCCAGAGTTCATCAATTAGATCTGAATTTTGGGATTGAAACAGTAGATTTGCAAAGTTTATTTTAGCCTAATAATATCAGAGCCATCATAAAATCAAGCTGAATCCGAGGGTGGGTTTTATTGTTGAATTCATTACTTAGGCCTCAGTGTTCTTCCAGATATAAGTAAGAAATCTTTAAAACCATCCATAGCTTTTGTATTTGCATCTCTCTTTCTTGCAGTCTGCCTAAAGCACTTGTCCTCTGTATAACTGGTACTGGTTCTCTTTCAGACAAGTACAGTGGCAAGTTTGATGCTGAGTAACTTTTTGTTACTTGGGCGCAGTAGGCTTGAATTGTGTGGGTATGAGTGCTCCTTTGGGGAGCCATCAGAGTGCTACAACTGCAAGATTAGTTTAAAGAAATACTATTTTCAACCACAACAATGACATTTTATAATTTCTACAAGAGAATGAAAGAGGAAAAAAAGGCCCTGAAGGTCAGCTTGAGAAGTCACAGAGAACAGATAGGTATTGCATTGACCTAGCCTGAATTACTTCTTGTTGTGGTATGCTTTGAGTGGAGCAATACTTCCAGGTTGTTTGCTTTGTTACGTTGTCACTCATGCTATTAGGTCTGAAGAAAGACTCTAGGAAACCTTTGTTTCTCATTTGGGTAAAATAATGGCATCTTTTGCTTTATTCAGCAGCATCTGCATACAATATTTCATCTGGAGGTTAACCAACTGTCTTTCTCGCTGGTCTGAAAACAAAAGAAGCATCTCTGTAGCTCTAGAAGGAGGCAAGGTGGGCTTTCCAGTCACTCATCTCGTTTTTCATGTATGTTCTCATTTTCTTCTCTCAGCAGGTATCCCCCAGGCGTTGTAAGCGTGGCTTCAACTGGCATACCTGCAGCAGTAGAAGGAATAGTCCCCAACCCTATGTCTTTATCACACGGCCTCCCTGCTGTAGCCCACCCGCCCCATGCTCCTTCCCCCGGCCAAACTGTCAAACCAGAAGCTGATAGAGACCACCCAAGCGACCAATTGTAGCCTACGAAAACAGCATTCCCAACATCAGAGATTTCAACTTCAGCGTGTGGAAAACAAACAAAAAAAAACAAAACCCTGGATTTTGATTAAAGGCAAAACCATGAACTTACAGGAGGAGACGATTATTGGTTTAGAAACTGGTCCAAGATTCAGTATAAAAGGAAAAGGTGGGAGACAGAAAAGAAGATTTGGAAACATTTTTTCCTCCGTATAAATTGTAGTTTGTCCCTGTCCAGTGGACTGATTCACTGTTTCTGTGTCCTATGGGTTCTTTGTTAAGCAAGAGAAGTTAGTAGTTAATTATACCATGAATGTACTTGTCTGTGTACAGTTTTTAGAACATTAAAAAGGGTTTGTTTGCTTAGCTGTCAACAAGGAAAAACATAAGGGAGGCATTCAACAAACCAATTTTGAGATTAAAAATCCTTTCTTTTATATTTTAAAACATGCCCAAAAATGAGGCAGTTGGCAAACTTCTCAGGACAATGAATTTTTCCCATTTTTCTTTCTACGCCACACAGTGCATTGTTTTTTCTACCTGCTTGTCTTATTTTTTAGAATAATTTAGTAAACAAAAAGAAAACAGTTTCTCCTCATTTTGGCATGAATTCCCTTATTTCCAAACAAAGAAAACCTTGCAAAAGAGATTTTGAGGAAAAAAAAAAAAGGTTTTGTATAAACGAGCATTGTGCTTTTTGTCACCAGTTAAAGTATATATTATTGGTGGGATGCGAAAAAGGCACTAGACTACTGAAAAGTAGCAGCATTTCATTGCCTACATTGATTCCTTCCTGGTAATGTGGTAGGCTAGCAATATTTTTGGTTAAAATCATGTTTGTGACTGTAACCATTTGTATGAATTATTTTAAAGAAATAAAAATCCCAGACAAATATCATATGTGTAAAAATTTTTATTTCTAGTAACTGTTTTATTCAACTTTTATTAGGTTTCTTAGCTGTATTTTTAAACCCGATGCTGTCAAGTATTTCATTTCTAGCTTTACTTTGCTCTCTGTTGTTTGTAATAACTGTCTTGGAAGCTTGAAAAAAATAAAAACAAACAAAAAAATTCTTTCCATACCATTTTTCCCTTTACATTTCGTAAATGTTGATCTTTTTTCCTGTGTTTCTAATGGAGTTTGAAATTAAGATGGATTTTGATTTGTACACCGGCATCATCAGCTACAGTATGGTAACAGCATTTATGCCACCACTGTGGGCAGAGCAGAGGAGGTACAACAGCAACACAACAATAATAATAATAATAATAAATGTCTTTTGCCGAAGTCCAACATAAGAAGTGTCCATTGTTTTATTTGCTTTTGTGATGATGGAAGCATGCAGCAGGACCTAATTGTATTTGCTGTATTTGAAGGAGTTTGTTTCTTTGAGCACAGGCAGAAGTTAGATGTCAGCTGGATGCTGGTTTGACCTTTTCCTGTGCTCCTGGATAAGATGTCCTTTATCCCTGCAGAGTTTAGAAAAGCGAGATAAAAGCTTAGCTGCTGCAGGAAGGAAATCCAGGATGGGAGAAAGTGAACCTGGACATAAACCTCCTCTGTGGTCTCTTGTTCGTTATTAGTCTGAACTAGTACCAACTAAGGTTAGTGAGCTATTTCAGTGGGATCTATGAAAACTATCCCGCATTCCCACAAGTCTACAGAGCAGCCTCAGTGCTAGGAAAATATTAGAAGGCTGCAAATCATGACAGACTGAGCTTGTGGGTCTGTACCCGAGGAGCACTGTATACAGTGGGATTTTGTCTCCATGGAAGAGTGGAAGTTTTTTGCCTTGAACATTCAAAGCCCCAAATGTCATCCATTACAATTTTACTGTTGGTAAACCCATTCCTGTTCCTTCTATGAAAGAAACCAGAAAACAGCCCTAAAGCTGCAAGTTATCCCAGCAAAGACACTTCCAACAGATTAATAGCCAAAAACTTGCAAAATCCCAAATGTGGTCTCCTGCAGTTGAAGTAGGATTTCATATTTCACTGGTAATTCATGTTGTAAGATGCTTCTTTGTCAGGCTGAAGATGCTGCTTTAATGTATGAAACCAAACATGTAACATCTGGCTGCAAAGAATCACTGACAGTCTCATTTGCAACCAAGAGGGTTTGGTTTTTCCCTTCTCTTGCATCATTTGGACATGGCTTATGTAAGTAAGCTTTGTTTCCAGTGAATCAATAAATTGATGAACTAGAAACGAAGGCACCAGTATTTGTTATTTATGTATGTACATCTTGGGCTCACTTCTGAAGGTTGCTGTCCTTCAACTGCTTATTTTTGGGCTGTCATCCGTGCTTGCTCAGGCACAAACTGAGGGTTGAAGCCTGAAATACTGCACTGATGGTGTGATAGGGCACTGCCACAGTGGTTGTACATGCTCAGTATTTTTATGCTTGTGCTTGCAATGTATCTTGTGGTCTGGTGAGCAGAGAGTAATCCAGGCCCCTGTTCTGCTGGAGCAGAAAGGAAAAAGCCATTCAGGCCACGATAAGGCTGATGGGTACAGGCTTCTGCGTTATGGTGTGAAAAGGTGAATTAAAATAAGGCTTGGAGTAAATGACTAATGGAAAAGTGCACCATAATGAACACAGGCTGTTAATGCCAGACTAACCTTCTATATCTTTTACATTTGCTTTTTTTGGGTAGTGGAAATGTGGTTAGATTTCGTCTGTCTGGTAAAGGATGCACAAAATAAAGTTTAGACACGGAGATGCAGTTAGCGGGAAAATACGATGGGAAGGTGATAGCAGCAGAGGGCCATGAATGGCTTGAGGCAGTGTGGGAAGGTGAAAGAGGAAGTAATCGAAATGCCTACCTCAAACTTTTTTTGGGTGGTGCTGGTGTTTGAATTCAGGATCTTGGCCAACCATTAAGGAGGCCAGCCATGCTGAAACGGCTGCTGGCGCCACGAGCATAGGCATCACCTAGTGCACAGGAGGCTCTGGAGCCTGTACAAGGATCAAAGTATGGGCTGTTGGAAGCAGAAAGATACCATGCACCAGTTGTACAAATGCAGAGTCAGGTGGTTGCAAGTCAAAACAACAGTTTGCCAGAAAAAGGAACCATAAGTGTTTTCTCATGGTAGGACTGATGGATTGCCACTGTGGGGCGGCCCTGGGAGAAAGTGGTGTGATGGCAGATGGATCTGGCAAAGTGTTTTTGGTAGGGATGGAAATGGATCAGAGATGCTACATGGGACCTGAAGCATTTGGTGTGTAGTTTTGGTCATGGATTTTCAAAGGGGCAAGCTCAAGCTAAAGTCATAGCAAATACCAGCTCAAAACTACTGGAGGTTTGGAGTGCTTATGATGTGAGAGGAAATTGGAGTAACTTGGCTTTTTCAGCTTCAAATGAAGGCTGAAGGTGTCCCCTCCAATGGCAGGGAGGTTGGAATTAGATGATCTTTAAGGTACATTCCAACACAAACAGTTCTATGATTTGACTGTAAGTAGAAAATGCTGAGGAGGAAGGAGAAATGTTAAAGAAATGCTGGTGTATGAGAACAAACGAGCATAAATGGGGGTTAGGAAAAGATCTCTGTCAGCAGGGAGCTCCTGGGACAGGTTTCCAGTCACAGTTACTGGGAATCAGTCATGAAGTCCCTTCAGCTTGGATTGGGTGTCTTGTTTTTGTTGTTTTGTTGAGGGGGTTCTATAATTTGTTTTTACAATCTAAAATGTGAGAACATTGTTTAAAGGTCATCCAGGGTTGCTACCAAACCCGCAACTAGAGGGCTTTTTCCATTCAGGATAAAAAGCTTCAGCTTTTTCCTTTAGGATGTTTATTTGAGAAAATGCCTTATTTTCTTACTGAACCTTCCACCTCAAATGATTGAGGCTGCCTTTCCAAATGACTGCAACTGCTGTTACAGCTTACTCCTCTCCTCAGACTGAGGGCTTTTCTCTTGTTTAATCTCAATGGATGCTTCAATAGCATCAGTTGTTCTCTTTGAAGGAGAAGGCTGCACCACCAGTATTTCCTTTATTCAGTTCCCTCCAGCCTTTCTGCCTCGTGTAAATTGGGAGGGGGGAAAAAGGAAGGAAAAAAAGTCAAAGAAGTCATTAGTTCTGAGTGCAGAGAGTAATATTAGATCATTCTGTCTGACCTCTTAATAAAGCTGTTACATGTGATATGCTTAAACTCCATGCCATGCTTTAAGTTAAATAAATCTTTCATAGAGATTTCTAGTCTTTATATTAAAAGGCCAAGTGATGGGAGTTTTGCTATTTCCTTTGAAAGTTTGTTTAAATGGAGGATAATTGACACTACAGTTCTTTAAACTGCTTTATTTAATTTGGCTTTCCCTGGCTCTGAATTCCAGTTAGTGTTTCATGTTGAGCATGAGGTCATGGAGGCTGACTCGAATTTAGTGAGCAGGTCATGTTTTAGCCAATTTGCCGTTGTACCGAGGTCAGTGACACATCTTCCGGGAAGACCAAAGTATGTTATTCATTTGTTTTCTTTCCCAGTTTCTTTCATTATCCTGTACATCCTTTCCTTTGTGGCTGTGTATTTTTGTCCTTTCAAATGACATAGTCCAATATGGAGATGAAATTACAGGATTTCTGATCTCTGAGACTTTCAGCTACTGTCTTCTTGCCTCCATTGACTTTCTGATTTCCTTGGTGAACTGTTTGCCTGTAAAGTCACAAGTTCTTTACCGTGAGGGTGCTGAGGCACTGGAACAAGGTTGCCCAAGGAAGTTGTGAGTGCTCCAACCCTGACAGTGTTCAAGGTCAGGTTGGACAGAGCCTTGGGTGACATGGTCTAGTGTGAGGTGTCCCTGCCCATGGCAGGAGGGTTGGAACTAGATGATCTTGAGGTCCTTTCCAACCCAAACCATTCTATGATTCTATAAGTGCTTGAAGAATCTGATTAATCCTCTTCTTGGTCTTCAAATTGCCTTTGCCTACATAGCCCCTCATTAGTAGCAAAAGCTACTAACGCTCACCACAGTTGTCCTGCTCTCGTAGCCTGGGTGCTTGTTTTCATTCCACCATCTGCACCCATTTTGTGTACACCTCTTGCAGAAACGACCTTATCTGTGTCTTGTGCCTCATGCTTGTCTCTCAACATCTGCCTCCTGTCCTTCCTCCTCATTTCCTTCTACATTCAGGAGACCTGGAAAGTTACCTTTAGAATTCCCTTTTTTAGAAGAAATGTCCATTGGTCAGTTCTACTTTTCATGTATAAGTTCTGGCTCGACACAGGCCAGTTGTTTTTCAGCTCTCTCTTTGGCTAATCTCCATACACACCACCTTGCTAAACCCATCTCCAACATTCTGTGGTTTATGTCCACTTTTGCTCTTGGAATCATCCAGTTGTGCTTTTAATGCAGTTCCTCATTTGGAGTTTCCTTCCTACATTTTCTGTGCTACAGAGACAATTATGGCCCTTCAGATCTAGTCTCAGCACTTTTTGTCTTTACATTTCTGCTCAGAGCCATAACAGTGTTTTCTTTGAACGATTGCTGTTTGTTTTGGAGGGAGGGCGGTGGATTGTGACAGTGTCAAGGCTGCCATAAACAGACCAAAGTATGTCCTTGAGATGATTAGAGGCATTTGAGACATTTCCAAGATGATGTGGATCATCCTCTGAGCATGCCAATCTGTTGAAGACATTTGTTACTTGCACAGTCCTCAACTACACATCTAGCCTCCATCTTTCATGTGCTGCCTAAAAGGGGTAAGTGTTTGCTGGCTGGAAGCGTTGATGATCTGCTCAGTAAATAAAGTAAGAAAGTTTTAAAGAAACCCAAACTGTTAAATACTTGAATATGTTTTGAGTTGCAAAGATTGAAAGTAATGAAAGAGAGCAAAATTGTAGCTTAAATTGCCACAAGAACCTTTTTTTACACATCAAGGTTGATGTATTAGAAGCCGACCATTACAAGTCCATGTGACAGGGCTACTTCTTTGTCTCTGCTGACAGCGGAGTCCTTGTATAGTTTGGGAAGAGCTGGTGGATCTCGTCTTCTCTGGATAAACCCTTAGAGTTAGGGCAGCAAATCAACATCTAAAAATAAACCTCCTGAGGAGCTGACAGCTCAGACTTGTGTTTCCAAACCCCTCCAG